GAGTCCGTTGATGTATTCTAAGGCTTCCACTATCACTAAAGCTCTTTCCACACTCCATACATTTATATGGTTTCTCCCCTGTGTGAATCCGTTGATGATTTCTAAGGGCTGCATTGAAACTGAAGCTCTTTCCGCACTCCATACATTTATATGGCTTCTCCCCTGTGTGAGTCCGTTGATGTATTCTAAGGCTTCCACTATTACTAAAGCTCTTTCCACACTCCATGCATTTATATGGTTTCTCCCCGGTGTGAGTCATTTGATGTGTTCTAAGATTTCCATTATCACTAAAACTCTTTTCACACTCCATACATTTATATGGTTTCTCCCCTGTGTGAGTCCGTTGATGTTTCCTAAGGCTTCCACTTTTACTAAAGCTCTTTTCACACTCCATACATTTATATGGCTTCTCCCCTGTGTGAGTCCGTTGATGTGATCTAAGGCTTGCCTTGTAACTGAAGCTCTTTCCACACTCCATACATTGAAATGGTTTCTCCCCTGTGTGAGTCCGTTGATGTTTCCTAAGGTTTCCACTTTTACTAAAGCTCTTTTCACACTCCATACATTGAAATGGTTTCTCCCCTGTGTGAGTCCGTTGATGTTTCCTAAGGCTTCCACTATCACTAAAGCTCTTTTCACACTCCATACATTGAAATGGTTTCTCCCCTGTGTGAGTCCGTTGATGTGATCTAAGGTGTGAACTTTTACTGAAGTCCTTTCCACACTCCATGCATTTAAATGGTTTCTCCCCTGTGTGAGTCCGTTGATGTTGTCTAAGGCTTCCACTATCACTAAAGCTCTTTCCACACTCCATGCATTTAAATGGTTTCTCCCCTGTGTGAGTCCGTTGATGTTGTCTAAGGCTTCCACTATCACTAAAGCTCTTTCTGCACTCTATGCATTCAAATGGTTTCTCCTCTGTGTGTGTCCGTTGATGTATATTGAGGTGTCCACTCTGACTGAAGCTCTTTCCACACTCCATACATTTATATGGTTTCTCCCCTGTGTGAGTCCGTTGATGTTTCCTAAGGTTTCCACTATCACTAAAGCTCTTTCCACACTCCATACATTTATATGGCTTCTCCCCTGTGTGAGTCCGTTGATGTATTCTAAGGTTTCCACTATTACTAAAGCTCTTTCCACACTCCATGCATTTATATGGTTTCTCCCCGGTGTGAGTCCTTTGATGTGTTCTAAGATTTCCATTATCACTAAAACTCTTTCCGCACTCCATACATTGAAATGGTTTCTCCCCTGTGTGAGTCCGTTGATGTTGTCTAAGGCTTCCACTATCACTAAAGCTCTTTTCACACTCCATACATTGAAATGGTTTCTCCCCTGTGTGAGTCCGTTGATGTTTCCTAAGGCTTCCACTATCACTAAAGCTCTTTCCACACTCCATGCATTTAAATGGTTTCTCCCCTGTGTGAGTCCGTTGATGTTTCCTAAGGCTTCCACTATCACTAAAGCTCTTTCCACACTCCATGCATTTAAATGGTTTCTCCCCTGTGTGAGTCCGTTGATGTCTTCTAAGGTTTCCACTATCACTAAAGCTCTTTTCACACTCCATACATTTATATGGTTTCTCCCCTGTGTGAGTCCGTTGATGTCTTCTAAGGTGTCCATTCAGACTGAATATCTTTCCACACTCGATACATTTATATGGTTTCTCCCCTGTATGAGTCCGTTGATGTCTTCTAAGGTGTCCACTGTCACTGAAGCCCTTTCCACATTCCATGCATTTATATGGTTTCTCCCCTGTGTGAGTCCGTTTGTGCAATTTAAGGTTTCCACTCTGACTGAAGTTCTTCCCACACTCCCTGCACTTAAAACGCTTTCTCTCTGTGTGAGTCCGCTGGTGTGTTCTAAGTTTTGCATTGAAACAGAAGCTCTTTCCGCACTCCATACCTTTAAATGGGTTCTTTCCTTTTTGTGTTCATTGATGTGAACTATGTGTGCTCATTCAGTGAAGCATATTCCACATTTCACACATTTTAATGGCTATTCCTAATGAAACGAAAGGTGCCCTGTCCCCTGCAATTCTGTCTTCTCCATCACCTTTTTCAGAGTGGGCAGAAAGGAAATCCTGTTTGGGTTTTAAGAAAGAGAACACAGAAAAAAAGGACACATCAACCGCCATTAGCACCTTCTCTTATTTCAACATCTCCTACATTCTCCCATGTCCTACCCATGTTCCCAATTTTTAGGAAATGAAAATGGTATGATGTCTAATGATAGTAATGCATCAGCAACCTTTCATAATCCTCAATCATCTTTAATAACACAGCATGACCTTGGAATACTGTTGTCCTGTGGGACTGCCTTTCAAATCAAGTGGTTGCCCCCGTTTCCACCTCTAGATCTTCATGAATCACCTGCACAGTCCCACTGACCTCAGGAGGTCCATATGGACTATTTTGGGAGACCCAGGCCTTCATCTCTTCCAGGGACTGTGGTCTGGGTCAGTAAGAGAACTAGTGACAAGGCTTGGTGCTTGGGGTCAGCTCAATGGGTGCTCAGGGAAACTCCTGTTCTGGGAGATGGACCTCTGTCTACATGCCTCACATTGCATGGAGAGAGCAGGAGAAGCAGAAGGAAAGCAGCTGGCAAATGGGAAACACTCCATCCCAATGGTTCTTTATAATGATGATGTTCTTCCTGATCCTCTGCTTGTCTTCTGACACAGGACTATCCTAATCTGGCACTGAAAAGCAGGATATTCAAGGAAAGGAGATAACTGTACTTAATGGTCTGACACAGCTGAAATCAAAAGTAAAAAATAGTCCAGTAGCACCTTAGGGACCAACTAAGTTTGTTCTAGGTATAAGCTTTCGTGTGCATGCATACTTCTTCATATAGTGAAGGGTAGTAGGAGATGGTAGTGGGAGTACCCTTCTGAGAAAAACCCCACCCCACCCTCCCACGATATACAAGGGTCTGGTGACATCTGTTTCAGTGTGTCTGAAGAAGTGTGCATGCACACGAAAGCTTAAATCTAGAACAATCATAGCTAGTGCCTAAGGTGCTACGGGACTATTTTTTACTTTTTTACCTCAACTCCGTCAGACCAACACGGCTACCTACCTGAATCTAGATGTCATGGGGTGTTGGGGAGCAGTAGTTCCTTTGGTGGGAGACATGTCCTGCACCTTCTGGGGTCATTTTTCCACCCTGGGTCCCCACCCTGCACTCAGCTCTCACCTGTGGCTTCCAGAATCTGTCAGCATGCAACAGGGGTTCAAGCAACGGCTTCAACCGGCCGGCTAAACCAGGTGAGGATAGCTGATGGGTCTCAAATCCTTGGGGGGCTGGGGAATTCTGCTGCACCTGAAGTCAAGCCCTGGTGGATGGAGAGGAGGAGAACAACCGTGAATCCCACAGTCCAGAAGGCAGATTCTGCCCGTGCGGAAGAGGAACGTGAAGGGCAGGTGGGGCACGTCCACCTGGAGGCTTGTTATCTAGTCCCAGGGTTTCTCTGACATTGAATTATATATGAATTACAGTATTGAAATGCGCCTGCTCCCACTTCCTATTCTGATATTACTCTACTCTGCTTGGCTGTTGCTTACTTGAGTGCTGTTTTGGCCCCTGCCTTGGCCCTGTGGAACTGAAGGAGCATCTTCACGCCCATCGCTCAGTCAGGACAGGGAGGTCCGCCTCCGAGGGTCTTCTGCTGGTTCCCTTGCTGTTAGAAGTGAAGTTTCAGAGAACCAGGCAGAGGGCCTCCTGCCCCATGGAATGCCCTCCCTTCTGAGGGCAAGGAAGTAGGCAACCATCTGACATTTAGAAGACAGCTGTATCAGGAGGTTTTTAACGTTTGATGTTTTACTGTCTTGTATATGTACTGTACTGTCGGGAAGGTAAACAGCGTTTCCGTTCCCTGCTCTGGCTCACCAGAAGCGACTTAGTCATGCTGGGCACATGACCCGGAAGCTGTACACCGGCTCCCTCGGCCAATAAAGCGAGATGAGCGCCGTAACCCCAGAGTCTGCCACAACTGGACCTAGGGGTCAGGGGTCCCTATACCTTTACCTATATGTACTGTAAGCTGCCCAGAGTGGCTGGGGGAAAAGACGAATACTATAACTTCTACAGTGGGACCTCGTGTTACAGACGCTTCAGGTTACAGTCTCTGCTAACCCAGAAATAGTACCTTTTGTTAAGAACTTTGCTTCAGGATGAGAACAGAAATCGCAGGAGGCCCCATTAGCTAAAGTGGTGTTTCAGGTTAAGAACAGTTTCAGGTTAAGAACGGACCTGCAGAACAAATTCAGTTCTTAACCCAAGGTACCACTGTACTATTATTATTATTATCATGTGATTTTTTTTGTAGTTAATTTGGAATTCGTACTGCAATATCAGCTCATGAAATGTTATGGGTGGAGAAAATCACAGGGTTGCCGTAAACTATAATCCCACCCACAAACTCTCATTCACATACAGTCTGTAAATTTGGGAATGACACACACCTCACCTGTGCTAATACTGGCAGTCTTTGGCCTGCACAGGCACACCCGGTGTGTAGAGCCTCCAGCCACAGGCACTGTCTATCATGAAAATGGGTCCTTTCACTGGGAAGATTCATGTAGTCGTTGTCGTCGGATGCTGAAGGATTGTATCTCAGCTTGTCAGTCACTCTGACATTGCCTACAAAAAATAAGAGGAACAGAAATGCTTTTGAGGTGCAACTTCTGTATCAATCCTGAGAGCCATTCCATGGACTCTGAACCCCTGTTTCTGAGGACAGGTGTACATTATCCTCATCCTCAGTGGAAAAGACAATAAAGATGGAAGCCTGAGAGAGAGGAAAAGGTTTCTGGCTGCTTCCTGGGAGGGATTGCGGAAACAAAGAGCCGCTTCAGAGAAGGCCTCCCCCCTCCCCTCTTCCTCTCCGGATTTCCTCTCCTCTCCAGGGGGACCAATGGGTGGACTGGGCAGAAGCGCTGCATCTGGACAGGGCTGGGGCTTATGGGGTGGGAAGAGGATGGAGCTTGCAGGAAGGAAGGGGTGGGGAGACAGAACCCCCACTTTCCAGGGATCCCTCTCTGGTCGCCTTGAAGGGCGGGGGGTCGATACCTGGGCGGGAGGGAGAAGCCAAGGCGGCCCCGCCAGCTCTCTCCCCGCCCCCACTGCTGTGCTTCCTTGCCCCGGGGGTGCCCCCTCCTCCCCCCGCCCTTGCCCCCCTCGCATCCCCCCCACTGCCCCCAGACGCCCCCTTGGCTCACCCCTTGCCATCTCTCCGTCCCTAATGCCCCCCCAAGATGACAGGGGGGTCTCTATCCAGGCGCCTCCCGCACCCCTTAACTCTTTCCTGGCCCGCTTCTCTCCGCGCCCCAGGGATGCCTGCGCGGGGGAAAGGGGGCCAGGGAGTCCTCGTCCGCCCCTTCACAGCACGCGTGCCGGGATCCAGGCCCCACGGAAGGCGCTTGGGGGAGCTGGCGGGGGTCTCTGGGTCCTTTTCTCCCCCCTCCCCCCCGGGACCCCTTTACCTCTTTCTCCTCGCTCCCGATTCTCCTTTCCTGCAACATCCTAGCGCCCCCCCTAGAGCTGTGGGGCAGAGCAGCAATCCGGAGAGGAAGCTCCACTTCCGGGAGAAGCAGGCAGGTTGGGAGGGGGCTCACCCCCCCTCAGTTCCGGAGCAGAAGCCGGATTAGAGGAGGAGGAGGAGGACGTTTGGGGGCGGGATCTGGGGTTGTGGGGGCGGGGTGAGAGGAGGAGGTGCCGGGAGGGGAGGGAAAGAATTGAAGGGGGGGAGAGGAAGAGGAAGGTTTCCCCCTCCCCTTTTCCTTTAGTGGATCAGGAGAGCGGGGGAGGGGCTGATCCCGGAGATCCGGCTGCAAAGTGGGGTCCCCCCCAACAAGTGCAACATCCTCCCCTCCCCCACCCCACGAGCTTAGATCCCTCCGTGTTTTAGGTCTTGGTGCTGTTCAAACCAGGAATGGAGGGGGGCAGCTAAACGACTCCCCCCAAATCCCAGCTCCCCACCCCAGCCTCTGACTAAGGCCAGGACAATGACCGTGGACACAGGCACCGTCCATGCACAACAGCCAAGAGGCTCAGCAAAGCAGCCGATACAATTGGAGCCAGAAGCGGATTCCAAAATCTGAGGGATCCCTTGGACCAGAAACAAGGAGACCAGCCAGGAAGAGCAGAGCAAAAGAGCAGCCAGTCGGCTTGGTCTTGATTGAAGACTGTGGCCACAGGACTCCCACCTGCCACCAGGTGGAACAAGATGGAAGCCCCCAACAGAAGAAGACCCCAACTTTTATTAGCTCCGAATCCCCCATGCTACACCCCCAAGACTACATCATGACTACATCATGATTACATCATTGACACATCACAAAGAGGAGGGGTTCAGGGAGAAGAAGAAGAAGAGTTTGGATTTGATATCCCACTTTATCACTACCCAAAGGAGTCTCAAAGCAGCCAACTTTCTCCTTTCCCTTCCTCTCCCACAACAAACACTCTGTGAGGTGAGTGGGGCTGAGAGACCTCAGAGACGTGTGACTTCTCTGAAGGAGGAGGAGTTGTGGTGGTACCTGAGGGTCTTGTCACCTGTCCGGTTCCTCCTTTCCCCTCCCCGTGATTACATTCCTGAGGACAAAGGGGAGTTCACTGTTTCCTGCCCCAGAGGGAAGGGCTGGTCACTGTCCTGTGTTTCAGTCCGTACTGAATCCACTTCCATATGCAGGTGCTTTGTGAATGGAATGATCTTCTGTCTAGGACCATCAAGGTTGGCATGCCAACTGGGTGGGGCTCACTGCGGACGTGTTGGCTGCCTTGTGTCAAGTCTCCCCCCTTTGATAGTCCTTCCCTCATGGTGCAAATTAAAAGTCGAACGGTGCAGATCCGATGTACGGCTGATTTTCTATGAATTTATAACAGAAGTGTTGCCTATGTCGTGTGTGAGTGTCATGTTTGTACAAACTGAATGATTGCAACACATGAATCCCAATCCCAAAGAAGGGCAGTGCCAAAGAATGCTCCACCTACCGTACAATTGCACTCATTTCACACGCTAGCAAGGTTATGCTTAAAATGCTAGAAGGAAGGCTCAAGCAGTATGTGGACTGAGAACTCCCAGAAGTGCAAGCTGGATTTAGAAGAGGCAGAGGAACCAGAGACCAAATTGCAAACATGCGCTGGATTATGGAGAAAGCTAGAGAGTTCCAGAAAGACATCTACTTCTGCTTCATTGACTATGCAAAAGCCTTTGACTGTGTGGACCACAGCAAACGATGGCAAGTTCTTAAAGAAATGGGAGTGCCTGATCACCTCATCTGTCTCCTAAGAAATCTCTTTGTGGGACAAGAAGCTCCAGTTAGAACTGGACATGGAACAACTGATTGGTTCAAAATTGGGAAAAGAGTTTGACAAGGCTGTATATTGTCTCCCTGCTTATTTAACGTATATGCAGAATTCATCATGCAAAAGGCTGGGCTGGATGAATCATGTAATAAAAAATTTAAGGTCTTGTATATATAATAAATGTTCATAAATGTACCAACCAAGCACATACATAGATATGTCGACCACATGTCTGGAGCACCTCAGGAAGACCGCCCTGAAACCATTTTGACTCCCAGTCTGACCAAATGTTTTCTCAGCAAGGAGGGAGGGGGTGAGGGAACCTTCCCATTGTCTCAGGAATTGGGAAATCACCATCTCAAAGGAATGGCCAGACTACCAGGAAAGGGAATCAGATAAGGCATTATCAGATAACCTGGCAGACAGGAAAAACGACAACATTCAAATTTCTGTTGTAGACCGCCTTTTCTGTGATGTAGGTATGATATTTGTGGGGGGTGGTCTGGGGTTACACCCCTTCTGTGATGTATGGAGGGGTCTTGAGCTCCAGGGCTTGAGCTCCCATTCAATTTCAGTATTTCAAGTTTTCTTCAGAACGCGCAGGGCAGGAGGCAGCGATGAAGTTCTGGTGAAGAAGCCGTGCTGGGAGATCATGCGGTGGGGTGTGTGTGACAGAGTTTGGTGCAAAAACCAAAGGTACTTTCATCTAAAATTATACTCACTATTGTGAGATGTTCCCTTCATTATTTCATCATTATACAGTTTTACATATAAACACCAGAACTTCACATATGCCTCATGCTTTTAAAGTGCCCTTTCCCTGGGTAGACCGGAGGAGCTAGTAGCATATTTTATGAATGAACAGACTATTTGCCTACGGGAGTGTCCTGACCAATCAGCCTGCACCGAGCGCAGCCTCCAGCCAATCAAGACAATGCATTTGGTCTGCAGTGTCAGCTCTTGCAGGCCTCCTTTACCTTCTGACAAGCTGTTGACAGCTCCCTGCTCTGAGAAGAATGAACTGACACCTTGTATCCTTGCTAATCCCGTCAAAATTGATATTGTATCAATTCGTTTCCAAAATGAGCTGCCACTGTTTTAAAGGACTAAAAAAATATAAAAATTCATAGAAAATCACCCGTACCACCGATTCTCTTGCTTTCAATACCAAACTGCTCAATTTCCTCAGGACTTCAAGACTGCCCAGTACCTTCCATAATCCCTCAAGTGGGAGGTCACGGTCACGTACACCCAGGAAAGACCTCATTGATGCCAAATCACCCAGTCTAGCCCTTCCTCCAGGCTCGGCCGGGTGACAGACTATGCAAACTAAGACCCCATTGTTCTCTTACCACCGGTACTCAGAAAGTGCCTTTCATTTTTTTAAAAAAAATTATATTTTATTAATTTTACATACATTCATACCACATTACAATTTCTATTAAATTTTCCGTTTTTGACTTCCTTCGGCTTCTCTGCCAATCATCCAAATTCTAACTTCTTCAGTTACACATTTCCAAATTTTGCTATTGCCTTTATACCTACCCCCCACTTCTATTTTGCCTTTTTACAATATATCTTATGCTGTTACAGAGCTTCTCTAAATGCCACTAGCGTTATTTCATCAGAACGTGCCTTTCAATACATGTTCCAACTCTGCATGTTTCCCCCTCCCTCCTCCATATGTGAATCCTGTATAACCCACCCCTGTTCTGATGTAATCGTGATGTAGTGATGATGTAGCTGTGAGGGATGTGTTTGCTGCCAAGCTAGTTTAGAGAGAACATTCCAGGCACCAAGCCACTTCTGTCCAGTAGATTTATTACTGCAAATTCCAAGCCAACACCGGAGCTCCAAACAACGCGTCCGTGTTGCTTACTCAGTTGACGCTTCTGAATCTTCGTGACGTTTTCTAGACCAGCATGCCCAGCGAGACAGGGAACGCCTCTTATTTCCTCTCCTCTGAAAGTAGCTAGTTCCTGGAACAGACTGGCCACTCCCTAATTCAGTCTCCGATTCGGAAGACAAGCTGGAAAAGGGCTGTTTAGGCACTCGGTAAGTGCTTCCATGCCCCCACCTTCTCTGGCTGCCTCCCTTTCCCTGTTCGCTTACTTCAACATCTCCTACATTCTTCCATGTCCTACCCATGTTCCCAATTTTTAGGAAATGAAAATGTTATTTTGTCAAATGGTAGTAATGCATCAGCAACCTTTCATAATCCTCAATCATCTTTAATAACACAGCATGATCTCTGACATTGAACTATATATAAATTACAGTATTGAAATGCGCCTGCTCCCACTTCCTATTCTGATATTACTCTACTCTGCTTGTCTGTTTCTTACTTGAGTGCTGTTTTGGAATGCTAAGTCAGAGTTTTACTGTGAGTTACATTTTTGCTATTTTTTATCAGCTGAATTATTTTTTTTCTGGCTCTGAGTGTTTTTTCCTACTCTGCTAACTATACATCGATCATTATGGAGGAGCAAGATCTGCAACCCAAAGCCCTCAACAGCCTCTGCCCTGTGGACCTGAAGGAGCATATTCACCCCCATCGCTCAGTCCGAACCGGGAGGTCCGCCTCTGAGGGTCTTCTGCTGGTTCCCTTGCTGTTAGAAGTGAAGTTCCAGGGAACCAGGAACTTCCAGGGAACCAGGCAGTCTGTAAATTTGGGAATGACACACACCTCACCTTTGCTAATACTGGCAGTCTTTGGCCTGCACAGGCACACCCGGTGTGTAGAGCCTCCAGCCACAGGCACTGTCTATCAGCAAAATGGGTCCTTTGACTGGGAAGATTCATGTAGTCGTTGTCGTCGGATGCTGAAGGATTGTATCTCAGCTTGTCAGTCACTCTGACATTGCCTACAAAGAATAAGAGGAACAGAAATGCTTTTGAGGTGCAACTTCTATATCAATCCTGAGAGCCATTCCATGGACTCTGCACCCCTGTTTCTGATGACAGGTGTACATTATCCTCATCCTCAGTGGAAAAGACAATAAAGATGGAAGCCTGAGAGAGAGGAAAAGGTTTCTGGCTGCTTCCTGGGTGGGATCGCGGAAACAAAGAGCCGCTTCTGAGAAGGCCTCTCCCCTCCTCTCTTCCTCTAGGGATTTCCTCTCCTCTCTGGGGGAACAATTGTTTGACTCGGCAGAATTGCTGCGTCTGGACACGGCAGGGACTTATGGGGTGGGAAGAGGATGGAGCTTGCAGGAAGGAAGGGTGGAGGGACAGGACCCCCACTTTCCAGGGATCCCTCTCTGGTCGCCTTGAGGGGGGGGGGCATTCCTGGCAGGAGGGAGAAGCCAAGGCGGCACCTCCGGAGATTCATCGTGGGCGTCATGATGGAGACGCCCCCCCCCCCAGGACGGGTCTTCCTCTCTCCCCTCCCCCATTGCTGCGCTTCCCTGACTCGGGGATGCCCCCTCCCTTCTCCCCCCACTTCCATGACCCCCTCTCTTTCTCCCGGCGTCTCCCCTGCACCCAGACGCCTCCTTGTCCCGGCTCACCCCTCGCCAGGCGCCCCCATCTCTCCGTCCGGAGGGGCCCCCCAAGACGAGCAAGGGAGGGACAGGGGGTCTCTAGCCAGGCGCCTCCCGCACCCCTTAACCCTTTCTGGCCCGCTTCTCCGCGCCCCACGGAGTCCTCGTGGGTGGGCGCCCCATCTCCGCCCCTTCGCAGCAGGCGTGCCGGGATCCAGGCCCCACCGAAGGCGCTTGGGGGAGCT